AAAAATGGTTGCCGTGTTACAAGATATCTAGCTGTTGGCAATATGCGATATTTTTTGCCAGTAGGGTAGGGTGCTTTAACCCTTACCGATGATATCGATATTCTCGATTATGGATTTGATCACATTGATAGGCAATTACCGAATGCGAGAAGGCTGCTTCGAACTTGCCTTCATAGGTACATTTTCGTGAGTTGTAACTGCGTGGAACTCTCCCAACAAAGTGGATCAGTTTTTTTAGTGGGCTATTGCAACCGATTTTTTTTAACGAATTAAAAAAGGCGCAGTTTAATCATTCGTCCTGTCCGTATGGATGAGCCCTTAAAGAATTTTTTTCTGGTTTGAAGCGTTTACAAAGTCTATACCCAGGCAAATACTTTTTTGGTGGTTGGATGATTTTTATAGATGCGTTATTAAAGGGAAAAAAATTCCGTGCAGGTTTTATTGATACAACGTGGTACGATCGTTTCCGTGAGTAGCAATCGACTTCTAGTTAGGTAATTGATATAATGTTTCATATTCCCTTGCTGAACAAAAAAGTTTTGGTTGTTGCCTCATTCAAGCATTAAAAATGATACCTATAATAGTAATTAATTGCAGCAAATGAAAACTGTCAACACAGAGTCGTGTAAATGAAACAAGAATTTGTCTATGCCTGGCACATTTCTCATAAACGCCATTCAATTGAGCGGTTTAAAGGCTCAAAGCTTCCAAATATTAATTTATCTTTTCAACAAAATGTTCATATACAAGACTGCTTAGGTATAGCGCTGTCGTTTGACGCTTTATAAACGTGTAGGATACGCGGGGAAACAATGAGTCTCGTTTGCCTTTCTCTGAGCTTTTTCTCGGTTCGTCATTGTTGGATAGGCATCTATTGTTCGCAAATTATTTCCCCAATATGCACATTGACTTAATAATAGTAGATCAGATACCTACAGCACGCCATACCTATTTAATTTTAAAGCCCTCTGAGGGGGAAAGAATGGAAAGAACTGATGGGAGGAATTACAATACCTTCTTGAAAGTTCATTTTTCAAGAGTAATCACATCCTGAGTGAATTACGCTTTCTGGGAGGATCTTGTTTGAAACGGTTTTCTGCGAAGCAGAGGCAAATTTAACAATTTTTCTTGAACGAAAATATGCGTTACCGGAATATTGACGATGAGAAAACGAACAGCTTCAATGTCCGAAGATACCCGACCAACAAGGACAGTGGCGTGCAGGACGGCACTGAATTTACCAGAAATGACGATAAATTATAGCAGTAGATTTTAAACCTACTCCAATTAGTTCAATTATATTTCAAATATATAACAACCAAGTTATAATTAAAGTAAATTATGCGGGGGTAAGGCCCCTTGAAAAACACCTTGCCGTGTTAATAGAGAATCCTCCCGAGGGTAGCTTATCCATCCACCTGGTATGATCATCAGACGAGATCCAAACGTCAACTAATATTTAAAAAATATACATGATCACCTAGCGGGAAACCGAAACGGAACCAACGTAAATTTAAGACCCGCGTCTGTTCTTATCGCAGAAACTTGCTATAACCCACACTATTCAAACCCGTCTGGTTATTTCCATACTAATTGCATATTGCATAAATGAAAATTTACGCGGACCTTTTTTTTATTTAGAACTCATTCTTACACTTCATTAATCATATTCCCCTTGCTTGTATTCTGTCTTATCCCCAGCTTTCTTTTTCATTAATTCCTTTATTTGTATGTTTGCTCCATTATCGCCTTGCGTATGGCAAACCAGACGCGTCTTCCATTCTTCCCTTCCACCACTTGCAGTTCTTATTGTTCTCCTTCCACTTTTGAAAATCATTTCACCTTGGATTTTTCAACCTTTACTTTCATTCCATTTTTTTCCAGTATCTCTCATTCATCCCACAATTACCTTCATTTCTTTTTTCTTTTTTGTCATTATTACTGTATTGTCCTCGTGTGGCAGTGACCATATCTTCTTTCTTCCTACTACCATTCCTTCACATTAACCTTCTCTTTATTTTATCCGTGTCTTTTGTATGCAGGGTAGGTTGTTTATCGTACACAGCATCAGAAGCAAAAGAAATTGAAAAAAAAGGTTTTTTTTTACATTTTCACGTAGAACTCAGCGGCATCGAAATAATTTTCATAGCCACTACAATTTTTGAGAAACAAGTTTTAATGTTTTTAATGTGAGCTATTTCATACCATCGTTATTAAGTTTGGTATTTTTCCTTCGGTATCATGATTCGGTGCCATGAAAATAAGTGGACATGAAAAAGTTCTAAACTTTGCGCTATTTTTTTGCAACTTTTTATAATAATGAAGCTATCTGAAGGTCGATTTTGGTTTTCCATCGAAATGTACTACTAAGGCGATGGACTATGGCAAACAATAGCATGATTCAATTCTTAGGCACGTTATTTCTTATGCAATCCACATAGGAGCCCTAACTAAAGGATTCCTTTTTTAGCGCATTTTCACAAAAAAAAAAATGCGCTATTGTGGCCATTTTGTCCGTCCGTCCGTCCGCTCGTTCGTTGAGACGCTACTAGTTCTTTATCTTAGGAGCTATTGTTCTACTTTTTTCGCTATTTGGTTCGTTATGGTGTCGAGGTCAAGGAAGGATTTTGTATTGCTGTCTGTCGTCTGTCTGTTTGTTTAGAAATGTCCGATCGCTTTGACATCTCCGTTAGTTATGAACTGAATTGCACGAAATTCAATATGGGCTAAGCTTTGGCCATATAATACGCAATGCCAAAAGTTGAGTCAAATCGATTCAAAATTCACAGTACCCTTTTCGCATCTCGACCATTTATAAACCGAATTGCAAACTTTTTTATTTATAAAAGTATTTGAATGAAATTTGATACATAGGCACTAGGAATAAATGAAAATCTAACGCCAGTTTCAAAATTTGGTTTTGCGCATGCGCAGTGCCAACTTTTTTTATTTATGGATGAATTTAAACGAAATTTGATACATAGGCACTTGGAATAAAGGAAAATGTAACGTTAGGTTCAAAATTTAGATTTGCGCATGCGCAGTTCCAACTTTCTTATTTAGAAAGGCATTGAAATGAAATTCTTCTTATAAACTGAAATTGACGTAGCACGTCAAAAATGGATCGCACATTTGCAACGCTATCTTTCATATATGTGGCCGGATTTTTACGATTTTAACAGAAGTTGCATCTTATAAATGGGAAATGAATGCAAGTGGAAATGCGCTTTTTGTGAATTTTAATTTTGCCTTACTACCCTATCAGACGCCTCCTTAAAATCTATGAAAAATGTCTTTTGCTCCATTCTTCCTTAGATTTTTTTCTCTAGTCGGTCTTGAACATATACCCTCTTTTAAATTCATTTCGTATTTCCCCCAGTAACCCCTTCTCTTCCACTTCTTTTTCCAACTTCTCATTTGGCACCATCGCGCATATACTATACGCTATCACCATAATCGTAATTCCCCTTTAAATTTCTATATGATCTTTACCTTTACGGTGATGTAATAACCCTTCCCTCCGCTCTTTTGATAGTTCTTCTCCCTTTCATATATTATTAGTTTCGTCCTCTTTGTGTCATATCTGGGGCGTATGTCCCTGTCACCTTTCTTCTCTTCGACCTCTTGAATTGAAGTTCTATCTTTTCGCTTGACATCTCTTCTCCACCCTTCTTTCCATTTTCGCTCATTTGGCCCGCTTCTTTTAAAACTGAATCACTTCTGTTCTTTGGTAGCACCTTGGTAAAGTGCTTTTTTTCCGAACGCTTGTCTCTATTTCTCCCACCTTTTCTCCTTCTCTGATTTAATGCCCTTGATTTCTTCTTCATATGCTCTATCTTTATTTCTGCTGTGGATGTTGTTTGTTTTCTCGCCTTCTAAAACATTGTTTCGTGTCCTCTTTCTCTTTTATCCTCTTCTTCTATTGTCAATTTCGGGTTCCTTCCATCTTTCTCTCCTATCTTCCCTTTCCTCTGTCGTGCTTTTCCTTTCTTACTTTCTCCGCTTCTTCACTTTTTTCCTCTTAGTCTCTTTTCTTACTAATCCCTTTTCTTCTCATTCTATTTGTATTTCTCATATTTCAACATTATGTATCTTACCTTCTTGCTCCTCATAATTTCCCTTTTTCCTCATGTTAATTATACGACTGCACTTTCTACATTAAATCTTTGGTAATGATTATTTTCATGAAACGTGTTATTTCAGTTCAGTGGAATTTTCAAGGAAGCAAATGGAGTTTGAGTACTTTGCAAGAAGATACGAATTTGGGGCGCGTGGTTTGTTTGATTGTGGTACAATAAGATAGGCGTTACCAAGGGTCGAGATAGAAGAATACGAGACTAGTGTTAGATTGACAAAGAGCTAGTAAATTAATAAATTAATGAAGTTGCAAATTTGGCGGAAAGATTCAATAACGTATAAACTTACGAAATCACATTAAATTAATTTTATAGATAATCCATAATTTAAAATGTGTCCATATCCGTATATGACTCAGCTACCAGAATTCGCGCACAGGAGAACCGTACGAGTTTAAATTAAAAGAAAATCATGGTAGATGTGTATAAACAACATTTTAAATTGTTCTTTATGTTGCATAAGAAGTTCTTTTATTTCATTTGTGTGTGATTAAAACATTGATGGTAATAAGAAACTTGAGTTTAATTACATCTCACGCTTCTGTTTCACAATTATTATTATGTAAAACAGATCCTTATCCGTGTCATTGTGTCAACCCCGCGATATGAAACGAGTTTTTTTGTTTTCATCATTTCGAAATTTTCATTTTGCAAGGAAACAGCAAATAATTTTTATTATTGTGTCCTTTCAGTAGGTACAAATTTAAAAAAACCTAAGTAAACATGATATTGTGTTCAAATAAGCCAATTTCCGTTCCGTGCTCCGATTCGCTCTCTATTTAATATAACTTCAAAGAGACCAATAATCAAAGCAATACTCTATATACATATTGCGTCTACCCCATTAAAATGAACGGTACTTACCCTCATCGCCATAAAAAGTTTTATCCACTCGTCCCGACTGATTTGCTCCCATTTCACCTTTTTTCTGCCTTTAAATGAAGGTATCAGGTCTTCATTTCGAACGTGTACTCCAATTATGACGATTTAATAACAAAAATCGGATATTGAAGCATGGACTTCCATACACATTTCAGAGTCCGAACCGAGTTCCTGTAATCAATATTAAGCGTCATTTAATCAGATTACAGAGTAACCGTAACCTACATCATTACTAGGTAGTGTAGGTTATTTGCACAGGTTCAAGTTCACAAAAGTGAATTATGCCCTTTTAATTAAAAAAAATTGTTATCGCTCCCGAAATTTTAATTGGACAAATGAAGGCAAAATTTAAATTTGGCGACGAATAATTACTGTTAAGTCGCTAATGACAAAACTTAAAAGATCAATTTAAAGTACAAATAAAATTATACCCCCTTTTAAAATTGGAAGTATTTATATACCAATTTACATTTTATTCGTGTTCCCCAAGTATCTCTTGACCCAGTACTGTCGATTAAATCGTCTATTTATGCATCAATTTAGGTATATTCATTCCATCTCGTATTCAATGTAAAATATATGAAATGGTATAAGTACTTATTCATGACTGCAACGTTTAATTAATAAAGTGGAGTAGGAAAAGAGCGCTAGCTTCCTAAAGTTACATTATGGGAATAGTTCAATTAAATGAGAGTCTTAAATTTCAATTCAGAGTTTGCTATATAGTAAGAACTGAACTTTTTAGCGCATTTGTTAAGAATAAAAAAAATGTGCTATGGTTTGCGTTTTCTCCGTCCGTCCGGACCCACTTCTGCGGGTTGCAACTACTTTTAGGAGAATACTTTCCGTTCCATTAATTATAAGGGGGATAGTTTCGCTTTCCTGTATTTGCTTTCCCGTAGACGCCGCTAATTAAATTGTGGTTTGTTGCTTTCATTCTCGCCAGGGAATGTGCCGTATAGTCCGAGCGCCGTAATTTTGTTGTAATACTTCCAAGTAACCGCCGCTATTTGCTGAACTCATCCGATTCCTGCAGCTTCCGTTAACTCTGGTTGAGTTTACCCGAGGCTTCCCACCCGCTGACTTGACCAGAGGCAAGTCCGTATCCCTTGGTGATACTCGAGTCTGTCAATTCCGCCGACATCACATCCATGTTGCCGCAGACTGCCGCTACTTTGGTTCGCTCACGTGATTTAGTTACTATAATTTATTGATTTTTCCTGTAATTATATTATTTTATTTTCATGTCATTTGTGAGCGAACCTACTATAACGAAGTTCGACATACTCCAACGGTTAGGCAACACACCTTACAACTGTAAGAATAGCACTATGAAGAAATTACGAAACGCTCTATGCAACATCGTGATAAGTCTTCGACTTCGACCATTCTGCACAAATGCCGGGAACAGAGATTATCGCAACGAAACTTGCGGGGAAGTTGGCGTAGTCGCTAGATTTCCGAAGACTTCGAGTGTGCACACGTGTCGGTTATTTCCCAACGTTTGTTTTGTTTGTTCTGTTTGATAGTAATAATTTTATACCTTCTAGTACCACCAATTATTAATCTTTGGATTTTGTGTTGCAATTTGCTATTATTTACATTTTGCATAAAATTCAGGTATTTGTTTATTGAAGCATGACGTGCTCCAAGCTTTTGTTTTGAATGCTGTTACCTGAACCACGTTTATTATACTGTACCTACATGTAATTATGCCTTTATATTGTTCGATTAAATATGAATTATGAATTCACGTAGAAATATATTATTAATGTGCCGTTGCCTTGTACGATTCGACTAACCAATTATTCCTTGGAGGAGGTACCTCATACAGTTCCGATTCTTCGCAGCATCATATTGCTTCCTCACCTCGTGCGGATCGCAGCTCTAGCAATACGAAAAAAGAGGCCCCTGATTTTTTACATAACTACTTAGTGCTTGCACTTTTCCTGTTAAATTAATGGTAGTTGGTACTGGAGTAGAGCAATGCAAATTTGAAGTGTTTTTTATATATGCACATGCAATTTACCATTTTACGAACTTTTTGTCTTATTGATCATAGTAATCGGTAACTGTATTTAAAATCTTAGATTTTTTTTCTGTCGAACAGCGAATTTCTATAGAAAAGTGTTTCCTAATTTTGATGAACGACGCTGAGATTCGTTATTTAACCTTTAAAGATCGTATGGATTGAGTCATGAGGTAAAGATTATTTCGACATACACCCTGTATACGTTATCGTAAGAAAACTAAATGTAGTGAATGTACATATAAATGTGGAGCAAAAAACCTCATATTTTACTCACAAATCCCCTATAACTCATAAAAGTGAATGTGTTTCTTCAGTATAATTAAAGGGGCAGTGCTTTCTAGATTTCTTTTGCGCCATATTTATGATGTGCACTTTGACATTCTCTTTTATCGGCCTCATAAACTTGGAACATGCAAATCCTGTTTTCGGCAGACAAACTAGTTTGTATTAGTGTACTCGGTAAAAGACTGACAGGTTACAAATCTAGGTAAATCTGTGTGAGGGAAAAGAATCTAAAACAAATAGCTTAAAGCTTTATTTTTAAGTAGATTTTTTCTACAACACCTCCTACAATGTCTGTGGTGCAAATCGACTGAATTGTTTACTTTCGATAAAATACGATACGTCAAAAATGATTCAAGGCACAGTTCTTACCACCAACAGAAAGAAATTCATTTCAATTAGTTGTGTGATTATCGTCATTCAGATAAATTATACTTTTGGTAAAGGGAGCTACTCTAATCACTTAAGGAAGCTGTTAATAGTACGTAAATTAATTACATGATTTATTGACCTATATCAAATGAGAATTTATAACTGTTCTGAAATAGATTAGTTTACTACTCATCACTTCAGCACTTATGTTAGATAAAATTAAACACGATTCAATTTTCTCGTACAGCTTTAAAAGTGCAGATAGCACATCATATTTCCCGGAAAAAATGCGTCACATTCGCTTTTACTCCTTATCGCCGGAGATTAATGGAGTCTTGATGGCGCCCTGATGTCGCTTAATACAATTCGCTACAATAGTCTCATCTTTCACATGACTATTCATCGATCAGCACTGCCTTAAAAACAACACAACTAGCAGTAAATAAGGTATACGTGATAGATGTATGTAGCGTATATGGGTGGAAGATTGATATTGGTTATAACTTGAAAGATACTCAAACTTAGTACAAGGTAGGGTTGCACCTTCAGAATAAGCCAAGTTTATAAGTTACCCGAACACTATACTATCAGTATAAAATGTTAACAGTTAGATAAAATGACAAATTGAATTACATTGTACAACTCTATATTTGGAATGAGGAACTGCTCACGGCATGATCATAAAGAGTAAGATCACGTCTCATTTTAATCACGTGCAGGACTTCGTTACTGCTCCTTCAAAATAAGCGCACCCTGTTCTGGTGTACAAGGCATCGTGAATTTAATTTAATTAATATGTGAACTGAGGCGTAACTTAATTTAATTACCTCATTTATTTATTATTAATGAATTTATAAGGGCACTTAAATTGATTGATTTCTAACATTTAATTATTTATCGCTTATTGTACTCAAACTTATAGCAACCAACAAGCGCGAATAACTATTTATCACTTCGGCATCCATGATGGAACTATAACTTCTATTCCAATCTCGAATAAACCTATCCGATTCCCCCGAAATCACCCGTCACACCCGCTTTAATTCTTTGTTACCGGTGCCTAATCCTTTACCGACTTAATGGCGCCTTGATATCGCTCTAGAAAATTCGCTACACTACTCTAACGAAACTTGTTGAAGCTCTGATTAAAACTGTTTTAACTAAAGACGATAATTAATGCAGAGTGTATACAAAATTCACGGCGGTAATGCATTAATTTATGACATCATAGTAACTAACTAATAATAACTCATACCGCCAATTCAATAGTGTCAAGAAACGCAGGAAATTCAAACGATCCTTATTATTTTTGGAGCACCCGATATTATTTCATTTTTTAACTGGAATAAAGCGAATTGGAGGCCGTTAAAAAAAAGTTCCGCGTATTGCATTTTTTTTAGGTCGAATTCATTGTGTAAAAGAGGGGTAGAATGTATTCACAAGAAAGGGGGTCGGTACGGCTCTTTGTTTCAAAGTTTAGGATGTTTCCGTGAGGAAACAAAGTTGTGCGGTTACCCGAATTTTCTAACTTTCTTCCGCTTAAAATATGATAATCGGTCGTCAATATGTTTAACGACGCCGACGTTTATATTCTTAAGAACTCCGTTAAGGTAATTGAAAACTTCGTTATCTATAGAGATCGTAACAATTTAACATATTTTATGGTGTAGTAAATACAAATTAAAATAGTAACAATGTCGATTACCGCTAATGTTAAAAGTTTTAATGTTTAGTTGGGATTATTGATTCTGTAGGATACGATCATAAAAAAATTAATTTCGTGCAAAATTTTACCACTGTTGATGTAAGGGTAATAAAAGCAGAAATCATCGAGGGTAATATTAATATCAATTTTAATTGAAAATCTATCGTAGTCAAGGCGAGTATATCCGCAAAAAGTACGCATTAAACTTTTTAAAGGGAGGGTATTATTTTGTAAGTTTAAAGCATCCAGTTTACGTATCTAGCTTTGAGCAGTCTTTCAAAAGTAATGAAATTGTTATCACTGTTCAAAGACTGTGTATAGCGGAGAATGTTTTTGTTTCAGCGAAATGACTTCTGCTTGCATTGGCTTTTAAACAAGCAAAAATGTCGTCAGATGGATTTCTCCTTTGGCAGGAAGCAGCAATTTAGAAAAGTGGATAGTGGAACGCTTTAGGCAATACGAATGGACCTCCCGTATTACCAACTGAATTGGATTACTTGTCGAATATTGATTTCGAAGGGTTGTTGACGCATCTTGATTCAGGTGTAACGAAACACCAGTTTCTAAGACATGCAACAAATTTGAGTGAGCCTGTGAGTGCTGTAGAAGGCCACCGGGTATTTGGAACCGATATTTTTTTATTTAACAGTGTTTTGTGCGCTGAATCTAGTCCCTTTCCCCGAGGTTAGTTTTTTTTTATATATATTTCTATTGTTATTTATACAGGGAATAAAAGCGTATTATTATTATTATATTATAGGTATAAATTTATTTGTTTTG